TGCCCCCAGTGAGTGCCAAATAAATCCTTGCTCCCTCTCACACCTCAAACCTTGATTTTTATCCCCACTCTTCCTAACATAATTTTATAACCTGTCATGGTCTTCCCGTGATAACTGCAATCTCATATCCTTGGGTTTTTACCAGAAATTACCCAAGACTAACAGGGTTTTTATCCGAGAAGCAAGGAAAACAAATTCCCAGCAGGGTCAGGCTACATATTACTTTAAATAAATGATTGACAAAATGCACTTTACAAAATGGACTTTACACTGGGTGTGGGATGTGGCAAGTGTTCTCATTACCAGAGAGTACCACATGCTTAAGCCAAGGATTTGGGATTGTGTGGTCCTTCTAGACTACAGCTCCCATCATCCTGCCTTGGGTGATGCTGACTGAGGTTGATGGCAGCTGGAGTGGCTACAGTTGTGGTCCTCATGTCTGGTTTAGGTCTTCTCTCCCCATCTTGTTAAAAATATATATTCTCCCCCAGCCCCCACAAAAGCTATTAGCAGGGTGTGGGAACTTTCTCTCTCTCTCTCTCTCTGTGTGTGTGTGTGTGTGTGTATCTGTTATACAATATAAAGTACTCATTTTTACATCCTTCCCTTCTTCTCTTTCATGGTTCATTTTACATATCATAAATTCCTGCATATATATTTTTTAAAAAGCTATACCATTCAGTATTCCCTTATTGCATCCATCAAAACTTGTTTACACTGTTGAATTTATCTTAATGCTGCCAGTGTTTTCAGCTGTACACAATTATTTCCCATATAGTCAATAAATGTTTTTCAATCTTCTTGTTCTTGTTATTATATATGTTAAGTCTGCAAGCTGTGCATATCCTGTCAACTTCAGTTGCCATTTTTCTTTGGTTGGGACCTCGCTCGTTTTCTATATTTGGGCTAATGAAACACAGGCCACAGTAGTGGCATACATAAATAACCTTTTTTGACACCTGGGAATTTCAGTCTGAATGATCCCCAGCAGGAAGGACTCTGGGTTGTTGTTTTTTTGGGGAGGGAGCACTTTTAATCATTTTTTTCAATTCATTATGGATCATTTCCCAATACTTTTTTTACCCATTTGCAAGTCCAGCAGTGTGCGGGAACTCTCATTTCCACCAACTCAAAGCCTGGTGAGGTGAAATTCATAGGGTATGAATGAAATTAAGAATATACAATGAGCCCTGCTGGATCAGGCCAATGGTCCATCTAGTTCAGCGTCCTGTTCTCACAGTGGCCAGTCAGATGCCTGTGGGAAGCCTGTAAGTGGGAAGCCTGTAACTCCCTTCTTGTAGTTTCCAGCTACTGGCATTCAGAAGCATTGCTGTCTCTGACAGAGGTGGACTGAGGAGAGTTCAGCCAATTCACCCACCCTGGGCACCGAGCTGAGAGGGTGTTGCAGGAGCCCTCACAACAAGGTTTTAGAACAGAAGGTGGGAGGTGGGGGGGGGGCAAATTTTGGTGTTGCACAGAATGCCACTGAAATTTGAAAGCTCAAGTCTGTCAGTGATCAACCTCTGATCATGGAGACAGAGCATTGACACCCTGACCATGAAGTGATACGATTGTGAAAACACACGTAGTACACTCGTCCTTTCACCTACAGTTTTAAGTAGCATGGATGGACACCATAATGGTGAGAACCTAAGATTTGGACCCATAGATTGGCTGGTGGGTTGTTGTTGTTGTTAATTAGCCAGGGTATCTCAGATTTAGCTAGGATGTGACTTTCTGCGACAACCTGCTGTTTGTTTGTGAGCCACTTTTCCAATTCACTGGAGGCCGTCTTCCTCATGCTGGTTTCCTACTTGCTCTGGTGGTGTCATCGTCCCCCAAATGAAGCTGAACTGCAGAAATCGTGCTGTGAGAAAGAAAAACCTGCATCGTATCATGCTGAAATGTTGCCCCACTGAGCTGAAGCACCTTGGGAGAGAGCTGAGCTGAGTCTATCACCTTGGGGGAGAGGCAGCTGAGGGCACCTTCTTGACCTTTGTAGCTGGGGCAGCATTATGAGACAACTGGGCCAAACGTCACGGGGGGCGAGGATACCGAACAGAACACTTTGTAAGTAGCCACTCTCATAAGAAAGGAGGTGTGGGGTCAATATAATTGCTTCAAGTCTTCTTTGCAGTTTCAGTGCTCCGTTAAAAAAAAAATCAAAAATCAGTCGCATAATAGCAGGGAAGATATTTGCCTATATCTATATATATTGCTTATTGCAGAAATGCATTACATGTCCCTAGTTGTCAGAAGGCATTCGATGGATGAGGTGCCCTATTATAGCCTCTGCCAACCTGGGGCCCTCCTGAAGTCTTGGGGCTACAGCTACCAAAACTGCCTGCAGCTGGTGGGAGATATAGTCCAAAACATCTGGCAAAGGCTATAATTCATAGGCCCAAAAATTGTGTCTCTGAAAGGAAAGAGAGAAGAATAGTATCTAGCTCTTGTCTTGCTTTTACATTCTAGCAGTTAATTTCAAACCTGGAATTTATTGGAGTGGAATTTCTATTTCTGCCCAGTGGTGGTGGTGATGATGATGATGGCATTCCTATGGAAGAAAGCTTTATATTGGTGTTAGTCCTGGGACCTCTTACTGATGCCTCCAAATCTCAGCATATGTCTCCTGTCTAGTCCATGTGGGAGGTGATATTAACACCTCCTGGGTGCCGTTGGCATGTTCTCCAGTCTGTGCTGGCCAGCACTGTCTGCTTGCTGCCAGATTAAAGCCAGTGAGTCGATTGAGTGTGCTCAGGTGCGCGTGCGCAAGCCGCCTGCAAGCAACGTTACGGAGAGGCTGCCCCTTCCAGACGGGCAAGGGCTTGATTCGATTTGTCAGCTGAGAGTTGCTAAAGGGGAGCAAGAAATCCCCCTCCCCTCCACCTTCCATGATCCAATGTGGAAGCCAAGAGGAGCAGGGAGGCAGGAGCTCTCGAATGGATGCTTGTGGGAAGGCAACGCAGTCTGGCACCAGACATGACACTTGGAACCTGAAATGTCAAACCAACAGTCAAGGGTTGTGAAGGTCACAGGAAAGGGTCTCCTGTGCCATACCTGGGACTTTTGTGACGTTGTGTGGTGCTATTAAGGTGCGGGGTTATCTGGACCAACTTACAGGGAGAAGGGAGCCAGACCTGAGAAGTGTGATAATGGAATGGAGGGGCTGGGAAAAGTTGATTGTCTTGTTTCCTGGGAGTCACCAAACTGATTTCTGTCTCATAAATCAGGGATCACTTTGACTTTCCAGGGACACGCAGTCACTTAAAGTACAAATGCACTTTCAATTAGGTAAGCTCAGCTCCGGGAGTAAAGCAACCAGAGTGGGTGTATATGCATAAGTTTGTCCATAAATGTTACACTTAACACTCAACGTGTGAATCAGGCAATTGTGTGTCATGGAGGCACACTCATCTGCCTCCCTGCTTACTTACAACCAGTCCAGAGGGTAGCATTGCCTTTGGCAGCTTCCTTTTCCTTAGTCCCAGTGTTGCCCTGGTAAAACTCAGCAGAGAGGAGGAGGGGTACAAAACCAGAATGACTTACCATGGCCTCTGGGCTCCCTGCCTTCCGCCCTAGCAGTCCAATGGGTACCAGCCTCTACTATTCTAATGGCAGTGTACTTTGTCTTCTCATTTTGTACACGGTGGTATCTCGGGTTACATACGCTGCAGGTTACAGATGCTTCAGGTTACAGACTCCACTAAGCCAGAAATAGTCCTCGGGTTCAGAACTTTGCTTCAGGAAGAGAACAGAAATTGTGCAGCGGCAGCAGGAAGTCCCATTAGCTAAAGTGGTGGTTCAGGTTAAGAACAGTTTCAGGTTAAGAACAGACCTCCGAAATGAATTAAGTACTTAACCCGAGGTACCACTGTATGTATGTTGCAAACCACCCTGTGATCTTCGGGTGAAGGGTGGTATGCAACTTTAATAAACAATAATAACAAACCAATGAAAAATGAAGATAGCCCAGACATTTTTAAAGGGGTTATCCCTTACTTCAGGGCATCTTTGCAAACGAGGCAATGCATGGGCAATCTTTATTTTGGACTTATTCTGTATCCTCATTGTACTTACCTCTCTGCCCTCTTTTGTTTTCACGTTTGGAACAACGTCTCCCAGCCTATGTGAGAGCTCAGCAGTGTTTTCCACCTCTAATCTTGCCAGAAGAGCTTTTGCTAAAAAGGCAAAAGGGGCTCTGCATTATAGTTGAAATATGTGCTTTCCCCCCTCTACTTCATTTTTTGCAGGCAGGGTTTAGTGTTTAGAGATATGGCATGGATGAGATTCAAGCTGCAGATCATATTATTTCGAATTCTTGTCATTATCTCCCATAAGTCAACTGGGGGCTTTATACAGAACTAACATTTATACAAATTGCCCTCTTTTTCAAAGGTCCCAAGTGGGAGATGGGTAGGGAGGGAAGCAGCGGAGACCCCAGGAGTTCTTAATACATTTTCAAATGTGTTGAAGTAATGCATAAACATGATTTTGATGGCTGCAAACATGTTGTTGAGCCACCACTGGGGATTCTGTGACAATCCCACGCCACCTGGTGGATGTTTTGCAGCAAGTTGTCTCCGGCCTGCTGTTCGATTGCTTTTACTCATGCAGAAATGACAGGCATCCCCTACTGTCGAAACAACAGGATGCAAGGAACTGGATAGGTCTGGAAAGCGTTCTAAGTAGTGGAGGCACACACATCCTTTCATCTTGACTGAGCACGCCAGCATCTACACACACAAAAATTAATTCAAGATTTTGAAAGGTGGGGCTGGAGAGAGATAGTGAAGCGTTTGCCGGTGCTACTGCAGTTCTCAGGGCACATGTTCACAGTACTGACTTGTAAGTCAGCAAGGCGAAGTCCTTCTGCTGCCTTTCAAGCCACATTTGCGCAGAGATGCTCACGACAGAGAGGGAGGCAGGCATGTCTTCACCTGACACACCCACAACGGCGAAGGCATGCGCTACAACAGTGATTCCCAAAGTGGGCAGTGGGAGCGTAGCTCAATTGGTAAGAGCGTGCTGCTAATAATGCCAAGATGGCAGGTTCAATCCCCGTATGGGACAGCTGCATATTGCAGCATCGCAGGGGGTTGGACTAGATGATCCCCAGGGTTCCCTCCAACTCTACGATTCTGTGATTACCTGTGGGGGGAGGGCACTGAGAGGCAAGGGGGCAGCAGGGGGGGCACTGGAAGTGTAAATGACTATGAGGCTTTGAAAAGTTGGTACCGCTGGATCAAATTCATCCATGTTGTTCAATCAATCAAGCTAAATGGTTTTAATTGGATTTTGAATAAATGTGCAATTAATTGATACTGTTTTGAATTTCATGGTGTTGTCATATTCCTGATGAGTTGTGGAAACTGCTGTTCTGGATCATGCTTTTATAGGATAAAGTAGCAGGCAGTGGGGATGAGATCTGGGAAGCTGAAAACCACTTCAATACCAGAGACCCATTCACAGCTTTGCTTGAGTCTGTGTTACAGAATAATAGTCCAAGGGTAGCCATCATGACATCCTCCAAATGTCACTGAACTCCAAATCCCACCTGCGCCAGCCAGCAGGGCAACTAGTCAGGGATGCTGGGATTTGTAGTACAACAGCGTCTGAAGGGTGCCATGTTGGCCAGTCCTGCTGCATTCCTTGGTTAGGATCCTTGCTCTCCCCCTCTATTGTGACTGCTGCTTTCAGCTGCTTTCTCCCCCACCCCTTCGTGGCAACAACAGACAGCTGACCCTGCAGCCCGTCTTCCTCATTAGTATTGGGCGGAGGTTGGCAGAATGGAGAGCTGTGCCTCCAGCAGCTTTGCCTGCCTGCACAAATGGACTGGCTTATAAATTAATTCATAAGTTGAAATTGGCCCATAATGAGAGCGATATTGAGCAAAAATGACTGCTAGCTGAAGACCACTTAGGAATCTGAACTCTTGGTACATTATATGAAGCCAGAGGGAAATCCTGGGCGAATTAAGCAAAGCACTTAGGTTTCCTTGCAGTTTTACTGGGGAAATGCATGCATTGCTGACTCGGTTAAACTACCGCAGCTGTGCTTTAAAAAGTGTGGCCTGTCTCATATTAAGCGCAAGTGTGTGTGTGTCTGTGTGTGTGAAATTTGACCGCTTGGCTGACTACATTGACAGACTCAATTTAGGGCATCCTCATTTCCAGCCTCGGAAAGGTTATTGAAATGCATTTTGTGGGAGACGGTAAATAAGGGAGGAGGGAGAGAGGGCGCAATGCAAGGTGGCTGCATTGGATGCTGGAGGTGAAAATGATTAAGGATATGATGCTTGTCTTCATGGGAGGTGCCTGGCAAAACCCGCCATTATCTTGATTAATTGTTTTAAATATTTACAAGGCAGCAAATTTATGGTCCTTGTAGCGGCATCCCAGGGGTGATAGCATTCATTAGATCTCCCACTAGGGAAAAGGATGTGTAGGTCAGACTTCACAAGGCCCCTCCCAGCTACTGGGAAAACTTCCCTAGCCTGTGACTAATCAATGTAGGACATCCCAACCCTGGTAGAGGCAAAAGTGTTGTGTGCTGGGAGAGATATGGACGTAAAAATACATCTCAGAAACCTAGTGGTAAACGCACCTGCCACTGCACACTCCCTTTTGCCCTGCTGCTTTGGATATTTAGCCTCCTGTGCTATCAGGTTATCTGGGAGATTTGCTCTATGGGCTCCCCTTATGGAGCAAGCCCACCGTTCTGGTCCAAATCTGCCATGGCATCTCAGTGAACAGCAGCAGAACTAGAAAGCAGAACACCACAAACCCTAATAAAAATTCCAAAATCCCCCAAAAAACACATGCATATACGAAGCCCGAACCCAACAGTAAATTAGAATACAAACCAGTATAAACCATTTTCCAAAGTCACAGCACTAAAACAATAAAGCAGCAGTAAAACATGCAGTTGAAGTTCCCGGCTCTGCAGAACTGTTAAAGGTGTGTTTGCATTACTCAGAGTAACGTAGTTCAATAAAACTATCACAATCTCATAATAAAACAACACACATAAAAACAAAGCCGTATAAAATGGGAAGAGGCGCAGCAGAGAGAAGGCCAAAAGCTTATAGCAGTGGAGCATTGTCCTTAAGCCAGGTATGACAATTTGGGGAAAGGCCGAGCTGAGTGGTACAGCATCTGCTTGGCATGCAGGTTCAATCCCCACCATCTCCAGGGAAGGCTCAGGGAGTTCCCTTCCTAAAACCCCAGAGAGCTGCTGCCAGCCCATGTAGACAGTACTGACCTAGATGGACTAATTGTCTGACTCAGAAAAAGGCAGCTTCCTATGCCCTTCTAACCCAGTCTGGTCTCATTGGCTGTGGTTAAGAATCATGGGAACTGTACTATTGCAAGGGTGCTGACCTCAAAGACCTACAATCCCCAGCACCCTTAACAAACAATAGTTCCCAGGCTTCTCCACCACTGCTAAAGTTGCATAAGTGTGCAACTGACCGACTGGTTGCAAGCGAGGAACTGCCATGGTGACCCTCTGGGGAGAGCTGTGTCTTCTTAACCCTCAAAGGTGACCTAAATCCACTGCTGTCAGGCCAGAGAAGTCCTAATGGGCAGTGTCTGGAAGAAGAGAAGCTATTATTCCAGCTCTCCGAAAACTGCCCTTTTCTAGTCTAATCCCAGCTACTTCCTTAATCCAAGAGGTACGGTGATGGCTGGGATGGCCTAGTGATGAATGAAAAGCATTCACCTGTTCATTCTTCAGCTGAATCCTGCTACTTGCCAGTAAACTTTGCAGGGTGGCTCCCAACTCATGGTGAGCAATTACACAACTGAAAATGAGCAGCATGCAAGGTCAGCCCGTGTAGCTCTCTGAGAGCCTCTCATTTGTAAATTTTGTGTTTCCGGCAATCTGATCCCATCTCTCTTCCCCCCTCCGCTTTTCTTATTTTTAATCTTCTGCTCTGTGTTTAGCGCTTATTAGCATATTCATTCTACATACTGTCACCAGCAACTATAAAATATGCTCTCAAACAATGGGTCTGGGAGACTCCAGAAAACATTAATACACACAGAGAAAAAGTACATCTATGTAAAGCATGTAGGTATCAATATTCAGCTGATGTAGCTTAAAGCTAAAAAGGGCTTGTGAGCAACATCTAAAAACAGGGAGAAAGGGATGCCAGGACTGTAATGAAAAAGTGCCAGGAGAGAGAGAGAGAGAGAGAGAGAGAGAGAGAGGAAATTAAAACCATGCTACCTCATCCAGAGGTACAGAACATGGTACATTCACTGGGGACCTGACACAACATCTTTTAGTCCCAAACTTGAAGAAACATCATTGGCTACCTTCCCAGTCTTGTTTTGTGCCATGATTGGCTTTTCCATGGGCGTGGCTGTCTGTCTTTGCAAGGAGCTGGACTAGGCACTCTATCTTCAAACCTGCCTAGTCTCTTAACATATGCCTGGTCTCAATGAACTTCTACCTTTTGTGGGAATTGCAATCAACGGGGTAGTAAAAGTTATTTCTTATTGTCTGGTCAAGTTTCTAGTCCCTAAGGATGTGGAATGTAGGGTTGGTGAGAACATCCTTTAATATTATAGATTGAGGAAGGCTCTTTTTCCCCCCACTGATGTTGTGATTTTGCTGTCTTATATTTCTATGTTTGCTGATTGATTCATGGTATTTGAGTGTACTCTGTTACATTCCCCATTGGGGGGAACCTTTGGGCCGAATCATAGCTGTCAAGTGTCCCTTATTTGAAGGGACAGTCCCTTATTCCAGCGCCATGTCCTGCTGCTGTCCCTTTATTGATGGATGTCCCTTAAATGTCCCTTAAATGATGTCCCTTAAATTTCAAAGGAAGCAGCTCCTCTCCTCCCTCCCTGCCGGCCAGGGAGGAGGGAGGCTCCAACTGTGTTGCTTGGCTGTGTTGCTCACCCAATAAGAAGTCTAAGAACGACTGGGGGGTGGAACTTGCATGCCTTGTGTGTAGCTAGTTAATGCAAGCTGAGGGGGGTTTTGAATGCTGGACGCCATTTTGTTGCACGTGCTGCTGCAAACTTTGCAGTGCAAAGCCAGGCCGGGGAGCCATCTTAAGTTGAGGCTGCATAGGCCTTGTGGTGCATGCGATTCAGATTCTGTTCAGTTGAACCTCTGGTTACAAAGTTGGTTGGACAGTGTTCTCGAAGCTACCAGCATGAGTTTGACCAGACTGCAGGAGGACAGGAAGACTGGAGTGCCTGGAACAGGTGAGGCTGCAGGTCCCTTATTTTGGCTGCTGGTCCCTTATCTGTAAGTTGACAGCTATGGGCCGAATCCTGGTATATAAACTATAGTAATAGGAATAATAATTCCAAGCCCAATTTCTCCAAATGGCCTGGAATGATATGGCATTAAGACATTCTCAATGGGGGCAGGGGGACAGAGAAGGCAGACACTGGGGTGCATCTCCTCCAAGACCAATAAGGGATTGAGGATCCCCCCAAATTGAGGATCCCTTAGTATGACTCCCCTTTGGTCTTCTGTGCACTAGTTTCTGGATGAACGAAGAGCAGGCTGAACTGAATGGGCCCCCATTTGTCACAAAATGAATGCAGGCTCCGAGCACAGAGTAGGACTGCATTGCAAGCCAGCTATGCAAAATCACCCGAAGTCACTGCATCACAATTGCAGTCTGGAATGAAGTCCTGCCTCTCTCCATAGGAATTAAATTTCTGCCTACTTCTGGCCATGTTTATGTATCTAGCTGATCTGCGCTGCAGAGGAGATAGGGCTTGAGTTGCTTTGTTTGTTCTACTGCACCATTTCCCTTTCTCGAAGCATCCAGGTGAGAAGGCCTGGCTTGAAATGCCAATGCAAGGAGCAATTTTTTTTGTGCTGTGATTTTCTGCTAAGTGATTGCCAAGCAGTTATTTCCTTTTAAGTGACTTGCCCCGCCGCAGGAGCCAAAGAGCAGTTGTATATTCTTGTTCCTTTCAACAGTTCAGCTTCGGTTAAGTGACTTGACCTCTGAGAGCAGTGACTGCCTTGTGCTGTCGCTTAGTCTCACAATCTCCATCACCTTGTCTGTCAGGCTTGTCTGCGCTGCTGCAGATAGACCAGTG